ATAATTTTGGTTTATTTTTAAAATAAATTAAAAAATAATTAAAAATAAAATCACACACACCCAATTACTTTTTTAGAAAAATAATTCCTAAATTTATAAAAAAATGATTAATTTACCTTTTTTAAACAATTTTTTAAAATAAATTAAAAAATCATTTAATTTATTTTAAATTATTGCTTTGTTTTATTATTATTATTATATTTTTTTTTTATTTTTTCTTTTCTTTTTCTTCTATTTTTTTATTTATATTTTTATAAATAATTAAATATTATATAATCATAAACTTTTTTACATTCTAAATAATGTCAAAAAAATTAAACTATAGATTATAGTAAATAATATTAATATTAAAATATAAGCTTATATTATCATTTGATGATAAGAAAAGAAGAGGAAATGAATATTAACAATTTAATATTCAATGCTCAAAGTAATTCTAATAGTCAAAATAATAATGAAATTATGAATAATAATAATAATAATAATAATAATAATAATAATAATAATAATAATAATAATAATAATAATAATAATAATAATAATAATAATAAAATAAAGAATGTTTATACAATTGAAGAAACTCAAATAAAATATATTTCTAAATATAAAACACAGGAGTGTAGAATGGGAATAAAATGTACAAAAGATAGAGATTGGTAGGTATTTTTTAATTTAGCTATATATATGGCGCCTTAAATTAAACCAAATTTTAATTTTTTTTTTTTTTTAAAATTTTTTTTAATTAAAAAGTTTTTATTACCATAAAAAAGATGAATACAGGAGATCGCCATATAACGATGAAGGAAAGTTAGTTTATTCACATAATTTATGCCCAGTCCTTTGCAATGACCAAAATGTAAGATTAATCATTTGCAGTTTATATCTTTATTACACATTAGTCTAATATATATTTTTTTTACATAAAAATAAAAAGTGTGGACTTTCGCACAATGATGTCGAAGTTATGTATCACCCAAATGTTTACAAAACCAAGTATTGTAATGATTATCTAAACAATGGTTGTAAAAAGAGCCGTTGGTGTGCATTTGCACATGGTGATCCAGATTTAAGAAATTCAGATAAAAGCAAAATTAAAAATACTGTTAATAATTATAACAATAATGCATATAAAAATTTATTTAAAAAACCAATCAAAGAAGGCTTGCACTTTGTTACTATTCAAACAGATCAACAAAATAAAACTACAAATAATATAAATGAAGTCGAGGAGTTACTGTATCCCAGACATTATACTGATATCGAGGTTAATAGTTTTTTAAATGTAAGTTAAAACTTTATGTAAATATATACAAAGTCATAAAAGTAAATATTAATTGTTTTTTTTTACAAAGGAAAATAAAATTATTATTGGTATTATCAAAATTATTAATCCTTTGCATGGAAGAATCAAGATTTTAAATATTGGGCTTTCAGATATTAATAGTAATAGTAAAATAGAACCGGAATATATTGTAAATGGTTATTATAATAGAAATCGTTCGTTTAATAATGATATTGTAGCATTAGAAATTATAAATAATGAAAAGTCAGATTTCGAAAAATTTTTTGATAAAAATTTTAATGAACATTTAAAATTTACATCAAATGAATCAATATTTAGCAACAACAATAGTATCAATAATAGTAATAATAGAATTGTTATAGATTGTAAAATAGTTTCGATAGTTAAAAGCCAACATCAAGAGGTTTATGGGTGCAAGTTTATTAAAAAAAAGGACCAGTATCTTTTATTCGAACCAGCTAATAGAGGTAACCGCTTATTACAAGTTATGGTGTTAAACAGTAGTTTCAATTTTTCAATTTCAAATAATTCAATTTATGAAATTAAAATTTTGGAATGGAATAGAAAGGACTTATTCCCTATTGGTATCATTTTAAATTCATTTCCAGTTTTTAATGGTTTTTTAAAAGATCTTACAGTTTTAAAAATTGATAATAATTTAAATTTCAGCAATAATGACAACAATAGTAGCAATAATAACAATTACATTAACAATAATAATAGTTATAGTAGTGTTCAACAATCATCACAAGAAAATAATTCAAATTATGAAGGGTTTGAAAATTTAAATTTAATTTTAAGTTTTTCAATTCAAATGGAATGCCATAATAGAGAAGAGGAAAATGAAATATCATATGCATTTTCATTTTTAAAAGGAATAAATGGAGAAATTAAATTTTTGGTTCACTTTATAGATTCTTGTAGTATTATTCCAGTTGGATCAAATATCGATAGTATTGCATCAAAGAAGGCTTTTCAAATCAGCTTTGATTGTGATAAATGTGATATACTGGATCATCAGTTTGTAAAAGAAAATCTTTCAATTTTACCAGGAGTGCAAAGAAAGGTATTCACAATGGAGTGGATTTATAACAGCAACCTTGATTTAATAAAAGTTAGTCTTTATAAATCATTGGTAACTTCAAGTATTAATCTTAAGTATTCAGAGGTTCAAAATTTTTATGATGGTGTACCAATCCATTTAATATTACATCAATCATCAAACTATACACAAAAAGATATCGAAGATGCCTTAATAACTTTTAAAAATAATTTTAAATCAAAAAATTTAATTTATAATAATTTAAATCAATTTTTAAAATTTGATTTCAAAATATCGAATATGGCCAACAATAGCACACCACCAGCATTAGCTCCTATGCACGATAGTCAACAGGTATCATCACCATCGCCACCTTCCCAACAATCTCAAAAACTTATATCACCAACTGGCATTGTTTCAAATATCTATTCAATTGAAATTTCAAATCTAATTCAAGAGGTTTTACTTTTAGCAAACTATATGATAACACTATTACTACTCAAGAATAATATTGCTGGTTTGGTTTTTAAAACTAATAATATCGAAATTTCAAATTCTATTTTTTCAGACAAAGTTTTAAAATTATTTCAAGATATAGATATCTTTAAATTAATTGAAATCTTAGAAAAATCTGAAAACTTCAATTTAATATTAAATTTTTTGATCAGTAACCAACCAAATTTTGGTAAGTAAAATCAATATTAATTATTTTTAAAAGATTATAAATATTAATTTTTTTTTAGAAATTTATAGCAGTAAATTTAATAGATTTCAAAAGTTTCCATTTTATTCAGAATTTTTGGAACCATTCAAAAGATATAGTGATATTTATAATCAAAGAGTTTTAAATCAATTTATTTTAAATCAAAACAATGGTAATAGCTTAATTAATAATAATAGGGATCTAAATTTAGAAAGTTTTATAAATCATATTAATAAATCATTGGATCAAATGAATCATATAAAGAATAAGTTTCAAAGAATTTGTATTAAATCCATTTTAGAAAATAGGCAACCAATTATTTCAAAAGTATTGGTAACAGACTATTCTTTAAATGACTTACAGGTTTGGTGTAAAGAGTATAATAAATCATTTAATATTTCAATTTCAGATTATAAAAATAGTTTATTTAATAATAATAACATATTAGAAATCATTTTACCAGATAATCAATTGGTTTTTAATTTACAGGATAATTATCAAATTAATAGTAATAATAGCAACAATAATGATTGTAAAATTAATTTGTCAGTTTTAAATTCAATTTTAATACAAATATCATTAAATAACCAATTATCATTACAAGATAAGGAAAAGATAGATTTATCCTTGTTAAATTCTATAAAGTCATCACCATGTTTTAAATGTACTCATAAAATAGTAAGTGTTTTAAAATATTATATTGTAAATTAAAAGTTATAAAATTATATTATTACTAATATTTTTAATTGTAGAATCAGGATTTGTTTATTTATAAATCGATAGATGATCTCATACAGTCTAAGAATTTAAATTTTGAAAATCTAAATCAATATATTGAATTTTGGAATTCAATGATCGATCTAAATTCTGCATACAAGAACATACCTAAAGGTGAATCAATATATTTTTCAAATGGGAATATTTCATGGAGTAAAAAGAAAAAAAAGTATGTTGGTACAATAGAGTTTCCAATTAAATGTTTGGCTTTATTACCAAAGCAAGTTTCAAAAGGTGATTTTATATGTGCATTTTTCCCAGGCAATGATAGAAATCCAACTTTTTCAATTCATTCTATAGTTTCAAAAGCAACAATTAGTAATAAGGATCAAGAGAAGCTCATAGTAAAATTCCCAGCTAAAATAGAAAAAATATCCCCAAGATATCCATTTTCAATCGAAATAATTTTTAGGGATCAGTTTAATAGAGATTTATCAAATGGTATTCAATTGTTTTCAGAGGTAAACAATACTTTAAAAATTCCATCAGCTTGCCAATCAATAATTTCAACCGTTTCAAATGAAAATCAAACATTACAATCAAAGAATATAAACAACATTTCCTCTCTTAATACAACTAGATATTCTTTAAATTCTTCACAGGAGGCTGCATTAAATAGTTCACTATTTAATAAATTTACAATAATAGAGGGTGAGTCAGGTTCTGGCAAAACTACTTTATCCTCAATCATTTGCAGATTTGCTTTATTTGATTTAAAGTTAACTCAAAAGATTTTAATCGTTGGTCCAAATGAGTTTAGTATTGTAAGTAAAATTAAAAAAAAAAAAAAAGAAAAAAAATTTCATTTATTAATATTTTATTATTTTTCTTTAGGATTCATCATGTAAATCATTATTAGATTTGGATCCAAATAATATTTTAAAGAAAGTTAGATTTTATAATAATAGCAGTTGTTCAGATTTAAATGATTTAAAAGATTCAAATTATCCAATTTCTTCAATCTCATCAAACGAAAACTCAACTGCTCCACGACAAACAGATAATAGTTACAGTAATAATTTATTATTGGATGCAAATGTTATATTTTGTACCACAATTTCGGCATCAAATAAATTAATTAGAGAATTAGATATCAAGTGGGTTATGGTTGATAATTGTCATCAAGAAATTGAACCAAAAACTTTATGTGCACTTTCAACAGCAGAGCATGTAGTTTTATTAGGTGATTCAATTTCAGATATCTCTGTAGGTCCAATTAGTATCAAATCAAAAAAATTAAGAAATTTAATGAAAATTAATCTCTCTAAAAGATTATCAAGCTATATCAAGCCAATTCATTTAACGTCTAGATATATCCCATTAATTTTTAATTTATTATTAAATTTAGAAAAACTTAATATTCAAGATTTAAATAATTTTAATTTATTAAACGTAAGTAAATTGTTTATTTAAAGAAATTGTTTTATAAATTTCTTTGTTTGATAAACAATTAATTAATTTTTTTTTTATAGGAAAAACCATATCTTTGCTTTTTAAATTTAAACTCCACTGAGAGTATAGATTTAAATTTGTTATTGGTTCAACAAACAAAAGAAACTATTCAAAAATATACAAATGAAAAAGAAGTTTTTGTAGTATGTAGATTACTAAACTATTTAACAGATAATTTAAAATTTAGTCCAAATGAAATAGTAATCATATCACCATTTGAATCTCAAAGAATCTTAATCAGGAATTTTATTTCTAATCATAAAATTAGAGTCTTATCAATTGAAGAGTCTCAATATTATCACTTTAATGTAAGATATTTTATATTATTTTATAATATTTAAAAAAATTAATACTAATACAATCTTAATAGTACTCTATATTCTCTTTAGTAAGAACTGAGGGTGATAATTCTAAAAGCTATTGGTGTGAATCCGATCAAAGAACGGTATGTTTTTTTATTTCTTTTTTTTATTTATTTTAATTTTTTACTAACATCTTAAAATAATAATTAATTTAGATAAAAAAAATGGTATTAATAGCCAAGAGAGGTTTATTTTTTGTTGGTTCAAAAAATTATTTTGAAAAGAGGGAAAGATGGAACATAATGTTGGATCATATGGATCAATTAAATTCAATAACCAATATAAAAGAATCAGAAAATTTTTTAAATTTAGAATTTAATTTATTAGATAATAAAATTTTTTTTACAATCAAATAATAGTTGAATCACACATTTTTTGTGGTTTTTAGAAAATTAATAAATAAAAGAGAATTAAAACAATTTTAAATTAAAATACCTTAAATAAATAAGTTTAAAGTTTTTAATCATTTTAAGTTTTTTAAACTTTTTATTAAGTTTTTTAATTTTTTTAAGTTTTTTTTTAATTTTTGTGTGTTTTTTAACAAAAAATTTTTTAAAAAATATTTAAAATTTTTTTTTTTTAATTTTATATTTTATTTATAGAAAATTCTATTTTTTTATTATTTTTATATTTATTGTTTAATTGCTGGTTAAAAAAAAAAATTTTATTTTTTTTAATTTTTTTAATTTTTTTTTATTTTAAAATTTCAATTTATTTTTCCAAATCATTAATTATTTTATTTTCGCAATAAAAAATCATTATAAATATTTGCTGCGGAATAAAATAAAACTTTAGTTATGGAGACGACAAAAACACCATATGATGTATTAAAAAATATTTTTCCAGATATCACAAAAGAAGTTATTGACAAAATTTTAGAAAAGAATTTTTATGACCTTTTAATATCATTATTTTATTTAAAAAACCTAGAATCAGCAAATTTCGAGTATATTAACGAAGATGATCAAAATGAATATTATGGGTCAGTCTGTAATGGGTTTCAAAATAGAGTAAAGGATATTTGTATCTACGATTTACAGGGTATTTGTCAAAAGGGTGAAAAATGCGAATATCAACATTCAAATAATTTACCATTTAAAGCAAATTGCAAGTTCACACTCAAAGCGTGCAGACTTGTAAACTGTCCATATAGACATTCTCCAGAAACTATAATTTGTAAACATTGGTTATATGGCAATTGTAAGAATTCACAATGCCCGTTCACTCATGACCTAACACCATCATTCACATATTTAGAAGAGTTAGATAAAACCGGATTAAATAGCAATGATAAACCAATAATAAGAGAGGAGTTTCCAAGTTCAGGGAAATCAGAGAGAGAAGAGTTTCCAAGTTTAAAACCAATTTATAATAACACAAAAAAGAAAAACAATACTATAAATAACAGTAACAATAACCATAACAACAAAAATAACAATAACAATAACAATAACAATAACAATAACAATAACAATAACAATAACAACAATAACAACAATAACAACAATAACAATAGCAGTAATAATAATAATAAAAATTGTAATACTAATTATAAAAACACTCATTTTATTTATATTGAGGATACTCAAGAGGACTATCCTTCACTTGGTAATTGTTCAAAAAAAATCAAATCAAAAACTAAGAAGCACCAAATAGAAGCATCTGATTTTATAATACTTCAAAATTTAAAGAATGAATTTACACAAGTAAAAGAAATGGATTTAAATAAAGAGTTTGTAGATAAAAAATATTCATATGACGAAACACGTAAAGGTCTTGTAGAAAAATATGGCTTACCACCCAAACCAATAAATAAAGCAATAGAAGAATCAAGTATAAAAAATAATATCAATACTTATATATCTGATGGCAGTGAAGGCAATACTTATATATCTGGTGGCAGTGAAGGGTCAAGATGGGTGGATACAGGTGTCGACGTTTCATTGTTATATCAAAAGAATAGGCAAATGGCCATCGAGCATGCAAGAAATAGAAACTGGTATTTCAATCAAGCCGCCATATCTTATGGTACTAGTGCAACTCGGTCACATGAGTGTTCAAAAAAAGCCAAAGAATTTGATAAATTAATGAAAGAATGCAATGCTAAAGCTAAGAATATTATTTTTTCATCTAGAAATAAAGACTATGATCCAGAGAAAAATAATGTTTTAGATTTTCATGGCCTTCATGTAGTTGAAGCTATTGAAAGATTAGAACATTTTATAAAATATTTGCCAAAAGTAGGTCAAATTATTATTATATTTTACTTTTTTTTTTTACAGCTTATACTAATCACACCATTTCAATTTTCCCTAGATCATAGTTGGAACAGGACATCATTCTACCAGTAGTTCAAGATTACCAAATAAAATCAAGGAATATCTTGACCAAAATGGTTACGATTATAAAGATGTATCCCCCGATAAAAGAGGTGGTTTATTGCAAATTTTGAAACCAAAAAAATAAATTAAACTATTTTTTTTAGAAAAATTATTTAAAATTACATATAATTTATTCTGTTTTAAAAAAATAAAAAGAAAAAAAGGAAAATATTTAAATTATCTAATTATTTATTTTATTGATACTTTTATTATTTATTATTATTATTTTATTTTTTTATAACTATTTCTAAAAATTTCAAAATTTTTAGATTGGATCTAAATGGTTCATAACATTTGCAATAAAAATTTGAGCTAAGATTTTCTTCATTGTTTCAGGATTCTCTGAGAGTTGTAACCATGGGTGTTTTAATAATTCGGTGGCAGTTGCTCTTTTAGTTGGGTCCATTTGAAGGCACATATTTAAGAAGTCTGTGAAAGAAGGAGTCCATCTCTCTGGTCTATCGAGACCAGCACAACCCTCGGTGGCTGTGGTAAACATAGCAGTTAACGACGATTTACGGTGTGGTGGTTCACCATTTGCCAATTCTAAAAGGCAAATTGCAAAGCTCCAAATATCAGTTGGACATGAGTAACCTTCGCCTCTAATCATTTCTGGTGACATCCAAAATGGTGAGCCAGCCATATGTACTAATTTTCTTTCGTTTGCGTCGACACAAAGACCGAAATCAACGATTTTAATTTTACCTTCGATGGTCATCATAATGTTTCCTGATTTAATATCTCTGTGGACTGTATTGTGTTGATGTAAGTATTGTAAACCCTCCAACATCCCTCTAGCTACATAGGCAATACAACTTTCATTAAAACTGTGTCCATGAGCTGCTTCGGTTAATGTACCACCTTGCATATATTCCATAGCGATCCAAATTTGATCATCAACTAAATGAGATCTTAAATATGAAACAATATTTGGGTGTTTGCAAAAATTGAGAAAACCAATTTCATTTAGATTGGTTCTTTGAGCTTTAGCTGAAACATGTGCAATCTTTTTAATTGCGATTTCACATTTATCAACTGTTGATTTTGCTAAAAATACACTTCCAAAACCACTAGAGTATATAAATAAAGGAGATTTATTAATATTAATAAATAATGTCATAAAATTTAAATAAACTTACCCGCTGCCAATTTGTTTTAAGTTTTTATAAAGTTTTTTTACATCTCTTTCAGTATCAATTAAATCGGTGGTGCCTTTTGGTAAAATTGCATTTTCTAAACGTGAACCATCATCATAGTCGTCCTCTTCATTACTTTTATGACTTGGATGATATGGGGCATGGCTACTTTGTGAAGCTGTGGTTGTTAAAATTACATTATTTGTTGAAGTATTTTGTACAGATGTTTGAAGTTGTGGATTATTACTGTTTAATTCAGTACTATTTGAAATCTCTGGTGATTGTGTACCACCAACTAAATTACCATTTGATGTGCTGTGATGGTGGTGACTATTATTTTTAATGGATGAGTTTGATGAACTTAGTGCTGGTGAACTGTTATTATTTGTGGTGGTAGTTGTAGTGGTTGTTTGTACAGATCTTAAATTATAACCAGTTCTAAATCTAAGGATTGGTAAGAGAATATGTAAATTTTGATTTAATTTTTCTTCTGGAATTTTAGATTTCTTTACCATCTTGAGACACTCAGCTGGTAGTTCATCAAGCAAACCAACGTAAATTGGCTTTTCACGAGCACGTGCTCTCTTTTGTTCCTTTCTTTTTCTTCTTTCCTCTTCATTCTTTTGAAGTCTACCAAGTGTCGATGTTGGTTTCAAACTCTTTCTTTCTTTGGTTGCTCTAGTAGAACCGGTTTCACTTGTACCTGAAATAGCAGAGTCTCTATTACTTGCTTTAACTGAAGATGATGATGATTTTAATTTTGGTGTACTGGTGAGAACTGGGCTGGATGATGATTGTTGATTCTTTTTACTAATGCTACCAGTGCTTTTTTGATTTTGGAGTGATGAAGTTGATGATTTTAATGTAGGTGATTGAGAGCCTGCACTAGTTGGAGGTTTCATTTCGACATCACCAACATATTGCAAGAAACCTTGTGGACCAGGTGCTCTATATCCCATACCTGAACGCTCATCAGTTTCGTCTAATAATTCTTCTAATGTCATATCTGTTAATTTTTTACCTCCAATTTGTGTTAAAATAAAATTTGATCTATGCATTTTACAATTTAATTTTTCACCGCTACTTTTTGTTGTTGTTGTTTCTGTGGTGGAAGTATTAGTCTCTGCTACTGTTGTATTTCCTTGATTTGCAGTTGCCCCTTGTATATTTGATGTATCTGGTGATTTATCAATACTATTATTTAAAACAGTATTATTTGCGTTATTATTATTTTCTTCTATATTATTATTATTATTACTATTATTTGGTTCACTTTCTATTTGTTGCTCTATATTATTATTTGTAGTTATGCTATTATTACTATTATTAATATTATTATTATTAACATCCAACTCAATCAATAGATGCTCTTTTTCTCTTGGTGGTGGAGGAATTAACTCAATATCCATAATAATGCAGCTAAAAAAAATTTATTATTTTTCTTTTTTTTTTTTTTTTATGAGTGTGAGTTTTTTTGGGTGTTAAAAAAATAAAAGCTATTAATAACCTATTTTTAATATTTAATAAAAAAAAAAAAAAACAAACAATCATAAGAGGGAAAAAACAAATTATTTCTACACTTACAATAAACAGATAAATAAACTGTAGTTATTATTATGTTTAATATATAAATATTTATATATAAAATAAAAAAAGAGAAAAACGAAAAATTTTGAAAAGAGTCAATAATATACAAATAAAAATAATTAAAATATTTAATGCTACACAAATGTTTTGGTTTTAAAAAAATAAAAAAAAATAAAAAAAAATAAAAAAAAAAAAAAAAAAGAAATTTTTTTTTTTTTTTTAAATAACAGTTATTGAAAATTAGATATTTTCGAAAATTATTTTTATTTATTTTTTTTTATTTTTTTTTTATTTTTTTTTTTCCAAACAAACAAAAAAAAGAAGATTATCCGATTGATATCTATTTTATGATTTAAAAATTATTATATATTATTAATTTTATTATTTATAATATTATAAATTATTATTATTATTAATTTTTTTTATTTTAAAAATTATTGTTTATAGTTTCCTTTTCCTGGGAAAAAACCATACTTTTGTCTAAATTCGGAATGTGTTCCATCTGGAATTACATTAATATTTTCTTTTTCAGGTTTGGAATTTACATCAAATTTCATTGAGGCTGGGTAGACTTGGGAAACAAAAAGACGACGTTTTGAGCTTGAGGGTAAAAAGTAATCATTGAAAGCTTGAATAATATCTTGAATTGTTAATTTTTCTAATTCATTACAAATTCTGACATCAAATTCAAAATCGTAAGAGTATAAATAACAGGTCCAATAGAAATTAGCTTGTTGTCTATTGTTATAACAACTAGCAATTGTTGATTGTTTAAGACTATTAATGATGTTTTTGAATAGCTCTGGTTGTTTTTCTAATTCTAAAAGGTCATTAACATAGTCAATAAGGAACTTTTCAGTTGCAGCATAAATTTCTTCAGGAGTTTTGGTATGTGATTGAGCAACTGTACGTACACATGTAGTATGTCCAGATTGGTCATATTCTGCTCTAACTATATAACCAACTTGTTGTTTAGTTCTTAGTTCGTCAAAGTAAGCAATACTTATAATTTGAGATAATAATAAACCAATTGCCTTGTTTCTATAAGTGGCAGCTTCTCCAATAAGAAAGGCCATTGTAACAGCACAATTTTTTTGTTCAGGGTTATCGGCTTGCTTTTTGACATGGGTCTCTATACCTTGTGGTAAATTGACACGGGCAAGGGTAAAAACATCATTTGCGGCAACTTTAATACGATTGAGTTTATTTAAATTTTGACCAAAGGTTTGAACCTCTTCTTTTGAAGAATTTCCGACCACTAAAATTGTAAAATTGATATAGTTAAAGAAATTCTTGACAGAGGAAAGAAAGCTTTCTTTGGTTACAGATTGTAAAATTTGTATTTTATCTTTGATTGATCCATTACCACTTAGGGTATATAAAAGGTAATTGTTATCTGCTGTGACATATGGTGGACTGACGAGTGATGATTCGATTTTCTTTTGAGTTTTATATTTGATAGATTCAAACTGTTGATCTGTAAGTTCAAATGAGTAAAAGAATTTTAAAACTTCTTCTAAGGCTATAAAAATTTTACTACTGAAACCATTTGCCCAAAGTTCGAAACGGGAATAGAGGACATCCATACTCATCTCGTAGTCTAAAACAGAGAGATAGTAAAGAATCTTTTCGTTTAAAACGCCTTTTAAACTTTTTTTTAAAAGTAGAGCAAAAACATTGCCGTAAGTGGTACCATAAAAGGGGGTTTCGAACTTGATATTTACTTTTGTTCTTGGTGTATTGAAACGACGATCCATAGAGTGGAAAATTAAGACACCATTTTCATCATAGACTACCTCTGGAATGCAAATTTTTTGATCTTGTGGAGCTTTCATTGTGAAATCATCTGGCATAAATGGGTTTGGACCTGGAGTATAAAGTTTGTCACAATTTGGAACAGCTTTCCATCTCTTTATTTCATCCTCTGTAATGATTCTTTTGCTAAATTCTAAACCATAGTATTTTTCAACTTGATTTGTAACCTTTGGGTCTTGAACATAGAGAATGGCAACCATGTTATCTGGTCTGATGTAGGTTTTAATTTTTTCAATTTTTTCAGGTGAAAAATTTTCCCAGAAATGATTGTATTTGATTACATCGGCTGGTGAGTCGACTTTTAAGAGATGATGAGAAATGTTGGTTACAAAGGCCATTGGATCGGATTTTTGGAATCTTGACCAATTTACCTCGCTTAGTAATTTCTTTTCTTCATAAGTGTATTCTGGGACTGTAAATTTTTCTATATATTGGAAATATAAACCAATGATTTCATCAATATTTTCTTTGCCAAGTGGTGTTAAAAAAACATTGAGTTCTGATTTGTTAATGGTTGGGGCCGAAGATGAGAGGCCAAATGATAGTGAAGTTGCATAGTCTTTTTCTACCAAGACTGAATAGAGTGAACCAGTTGCTTCATGGCCAATAATGTGGGAGAAAATGGTGGGTGATTGGTCTTTATAGGTTTGAAAAGAGATTGATGTATCGTAAATTGGGGAAATTAGTTTAAGGAGATCATATTGATTTGATTGGGCTTCTATCCAAACTGATTGCTTTAATTGAAGTGGCTCGAATTTGGGAACTTCTAAATTTTTATTCTTGATTGGTGAAAAAAATTCTCTGGCTAATGCCTCCAATTGATTTAATGATTCTTTACCATAAAGAGAGACCTTCATGTTATTGGCAGAGTAAAATTTATTATAAAAATCTACAACCTTTTCTCTAATTCCTTCAATATCTAATGTCTCTTTATTGCCTGTTTGGAAATTTGATATTGGGTGGTCTTCAAATTGGTCATTAACAATTCTATTGAGTCTCCACGCATCTTTTTCTCTGTTGTTATTATGTTCAGAATCTACAGCATTAAGTTCTCTTGAAACTGCATCTTTATTCATTAATGGTGAGATAAAAAACGATGAAAATCTATCTAATGATTCTCTAAGTAATTCGTCATCTTTATTTGGAAGTTTATAATAATAAGTTGTTTTATTTACTATTGTTTTAAAATAAAAATAAGAATGAGAAAAAATTAGTATTTAATAATTTATATTTATTTTAAATTGGTCATATATAAATAATACTTACAAGCAGTCGAGGCATTATAAGATCCACTATTTAAGGAAATAAGGCTAGAAAACTCTTTTTCAACTGGGAATTTTTCTGTACCAAGGAAAAGCATATGTTCTAAAAAATGGGCTAAACCAGGGACTTCTCTTGGATCTGAAAGTGAACCGACACCAACAGACAAAGAACAAGCTGAATAGTCTGAACTTGGGTCTGAAACTACTACAATTTCCAGGTCATTTTCTAATTTAATGTATCTGTATTGATTTTTATCATTTGGTGATTTTAAAATTTCTATTTTTTCACCCATTTTAAATTAAACAAAATGAAAAAAAATTTAAAAAAAAATTTAAAAAACATTTAAAAAAAAAAAAAAAAAAAAAATAAATTAAAATATTTTAAAAAAAAAAAAAAAAAGTAAACCCCCTTTCTTAAAATAATAACGAAAATCCCTCTTACTTTACTAACTCTTTTATTTAAAAAATTGGTATAAGGAGTAATTTATTCTACATTTAAATAAATAAAATTATAAATTTTTTTTTTTTTTTTTTTTTTTTTTTTTTTTTTTTTTTTTTTTTTTTTTAAATTTTTTTTAAATTTTTTTAAAATTTTTTAAAAGATAATATTTTATTTTTTCATCATAAAATTGGTTGTGTGAATGAATGGATGAAGACGAAACCATTTATCAATCAATTAATAATGGTGGAGCATCATCAGCTATAAATCCCACCGAGGCTTCTTTAGCGGATTATATCACAAAAAAAAATAAATTAAAATCAATCAAAGAAAATCAACGTAAAAAATCATATTATTTATCAACATGGATATTTTTAAAAATGATTTCAATTATTACATTTATTGCTTTATTTTCAGCATTGTAAGTATCCTTATTTTATTATTTTTATTTTATTTTTATTAAATTCTAATTTGAAATTTATTTTTAGTATTCAAATAAGAGGTTTGGTTGGGGATGATGGAATTTTACCAGTTAGCAAAGTTTTAGAATCAAAAATTGCAACTAATGAAATTAACTCAATTTGGATATTTTTTACTCACCCAAGCAAAGGCATGGGATTTAGTGTTAATAATACATTACATATGTTATGTTTTATTGGTTTAACATTCAGTGCATTATCAATTTTTACAACTACAATTGCAACCTATATTGGTTTAATGTGGTTCTGTTATTATTGTATTGTAGATGTTGGCCAACTATTCTTTGCCTATCAGGTAAAATTGTTTATTATATTTTATTTTATGACTTATCGATAAGTACTAATTTTTTTTTTTTTATAGTGGGACCAATTATTATTAGAAACTTTATTTTTAACTATATTTTTATCACCTTTCAATCCAAAGTATGAAGAAAAACCCTCAACTCCTATTAGATATTTATTGAAATGGTTGTTATTTAGATTAGTGTTTGGTAGCGGTTTAGTAAAATTAACTCCAATTTGGGCAGGTCTTCAAGCAATGAACTATCACTACGAAACACAATGCATACCCAATGTTTTTGTAAGTTTACAGTTTATTTATCATAAATATTTTATTTTAAATTAATTACTAATTTTTTTATTAAAAAAAAAATAAAAAAAAAAAGAGTTGGTATTTAAATCAACTACCACCAGTTTTTCACCAATTCGAGTCTATGATGGTTTTAGCTATTGAAATATTATTACCAGCATTATATTTTGCACCAAGATCATTTAGATTGTTTTCAAGTTTTACAACAGTAATATTTCAAATGGTAATATTTTTAACTGGGAATTACAATTTTTTCAATTATCTTACAATTGGGCTATGTGCATTACTATTGGACGATGCATTTTTATTACAGCTACCAATGCCAGAAAAGATTAGGATCAAGTTGTTAGAAATCGAATCACGCCGTTTCAAAGACATACAATTAAATAGACAATCATCGAGAAGTGAAAGTGGTTTATCAAGCTTAGATCCTAAAAACCTATTGGTACCATTTGTCTTTATCTTAATTGGTACATCTTCACTGATAAACGTTTCCCAGTACTTTCAAAAACACACTGCACCACTTTTAATCCAGAGAATACATTCAGCTCTTTCGCTATATCATCTAACTGGTACCTATGGATTGTTTAGTCACGTCACAACTGAACGTTATGAAATTATAATTGAGGGATCCTATGATCAAGTAGAGTGGAGTCCATACGAATTTTACTATAAACCCGGTAATCTTTCAAGACACCCACCATTTGTTTTCCCAGGGCACCAACCTCGTCTAGATTGGCAAATGTGGTTTGCTGCTTTATCAAAAGATTCAAATTCGCAACCATGGTTAATCCATTTCATGGCAAAGCTTTTAGAAGGTTCACCAGAGGTTCTAAGTTTGGTAGAGTATTCACCTTTCCCTGTTGATAAACCACCATCATTTGTTAGAGCACAAAAATATAGATATCAGTTTACGTATTTTTCATTAATACACCAAAAAAACCTAAATCTTAATCAAAACCCAAATCAAAATAAAGATCAAAATAAGGAACACAAATCAATAAATAATAATAATAAAAAACAAGATGATAATCAAGAGGATAATAATAACCAAAATAATATTAAACTGGATAATAGCAAACTTAAGAAAGAATCAACAACCAAACAAGTTGTTATAAGCGAAAATGATTGGTGGCAAAGAGACTTTGTTGGACCATTTGTAAAGCCATTTTCATTAAAATCAAGATTTTATTTAAACTTCTTATCGAATGAAAAAAATCTTAAAAGTGATAATAACAATAATAATAACGATAATAATAATGATAATAATAATAATAACAATAATAAATAATAAAATAAAATATTTACTTTTTTTTCATTTAGTTGTAATAGTGCATTGCATATTAAAAGAAAGATTAAATAAAGAATTTTTTTTTTTTTTTTATACACTTTATTTTATTATTTTAAAAAATATAACCATTTAAAACTTTTTCGATAAATGGATCAATCCAACCATTTAAATCTGAAACTGATGGGCTTATTTCACCTTTTTCACCAACATAATCAACAAATTTGTCCATATTTGCCATTAACAATAAGTTTGAAAGATTAAATTTGATTGATGGAAATTTTTTTTTGAATAATAGAGAAAGAAATTCTGTAAATTTAATATTTTCTAGTTCTTTTTCTGATATAAGCTCTTTTTCATATTTATTTTCAAATTTATTATCACCATTAATATTGAGACGGAATAGTTGCGAATACTTTTCATCCTTTACCAGAGTATTTAATTGATTATCAAGAATTTTAAATTTAACTGAAAAGTCAAAATAGTTTTTATCTGTTTCATGTCCTTCTATGCAACATTGGTATATAGAGATCAAAAGGTTTTTGGTTTCATTTTCTTGATCTTTGTATGGTATTATAAATTGGAATGAATATGTTGATTCTTTTGCAGGGTGATAAAAAGAATCTGTAATTGAACAAGAGTATTTTCGAATGAATGATTTTTCTATAAAGTTTTTTAAATTATCTTTTTCAAATAATTCAAAATGATCTTTTTCTTTTTTTAATGCTGTTGGACTCTAAAATAAATATTTAAAAAAAAAATTAAAATTGTGAAAATATAAAAAAATTTAAAAAAAACTCTACTTACAGGACCATGTAAATAATTAAAATAAAGGTTTGTTTTCCATGTGATGTTATCTAAAAGTAGTATAATATCCACTGAATCATTATTTTGATTTGTATTGTATCTACTTTTAATGTGAGTTATTTTCTTTTTATATTGTTCTTTAATAGTTTCGATTGATGAAAATATTTCTTTATAGTTGTAATAATTTGAAAAGAATCTTTCTTTTGATTCATAATTTGAAAAATGCCATAGTTTGAAGTGAGTTTCTCCATCAAATAAAAACGTATTTCTTGTAAATTCGTGTAATCCATTAATATAGCTGCTTTTTATAATTTTATCATATCCCATTCGTTGATGATCATCTCTATCATATTTACAATACCAATAATCAAATGCTGAGACATTAGTGTCATTTTTTTTTGGTTCTGGATTGTATAGTTTAAATTCTGCTTGGTTTTTCGATGTTGAAAATGATGGTTCATCAATATCGAATGTTTGAAAGTGATGAAATGATTCTCTTTTTAATAAGCCTGCATGTTCACCCCCATTATTTTGAAAACTAAATTTTAAAAAAAAAAAATTAATATGTGGGTTTTTTATTTTAACTGTTATATACATACTTTTCTTCACAATCATAAAGATGTGATATTCTAAATGTTGCTTTAATAAATCTTGAATATTCTGTAACCATTTGATTTTCATCTAATACTGATTTTACTTGATTTGGTATGCATATCAAAATTTGAAATGTTCTGGAATAGTGGCATGCAAGTTCATCATTTTTTGACTTAGTATTACAATACTCTGATAGAAGAAAGGTATGTGCAGACATTGGTTTATAAGCTTTTTTTATTTTTGAATATGAATCAGAGTTTATTTTATTTAATAAAAGAGATGATTTAATACTAAAGATATCTATTGAAATTTGTTTTAATAGGTCTTTAATATCTATTTTATCCTTATTTTTTTTATTTTTGTTTTCTTTTTCTAATATATTTGATAGATTTGATTGTATTTGATCTAAATCCGAATAAATTCCATTGTTCGATATAATACCAATATTTTTTAATTTATTAAAGTTTGAAAGTCTATTATAGTGATGTGGGAAGAATTGTTTGTATAAATCTTTAAATTTTAAATTATTGTTAATATTGTCAAATGATTGTTTTAAACAACCTTTTGAGTATATTGATTTTTCATTATTAAAGTCATTTATTTGTAAAATATTTTTTAAAAATAATATTTCCCAAAGCTTATTATCATTTGAAACATTTTTCCATTGTTTATTAACTAATTCACATGAATGATAATCATCAACATCCAAATATTTAATTATTTGATAAATAATTATAGAATTTGTTGAAAATTCATTATTATTTATTTCTAAAGTTTGGGAATAAATGAAAAAAATTAAAAAAAATAAAAATATTAGTATAATTTTATTATTTAAATACTATATTTAAAAAAAATTATTAATTATTTTATTACCAATATCATTTTTAGGTGTTTTTGTGGTAGAATCAGTTTCCATTGGTTCATTATTTGTAATTAAAGTAGTTGTTGTTGTTGTTGTTGTTGTTGTTTCATCTAATTGTTTTTGCTTTTGTTTTATTCTTTCTATTAGCGATTCTCTTGATTTCTTTCCACTATTAAAAACATCAAAGCTTTTTGCAACCTTAACAATATCATTATATTTTTGATTTTCTATATTTTCTATTTGTTTGTTTTTATGAACCATTTTTATTGATTTTTTTAGAATAAGATAAAATAAAAAATAAAAAAATAAAAATAAAATTATGTTTTTTATAATAAAAAAATTAAAAAAAAATTTTGGTTAATCTCAAGTTTTTGGGAATTTTTATTAAAAAAATATTTTTTTTATGAAATTGATTATTATAATAAATAAAACCCACCAAATTTTTAAATAACAAATCTATCCTCTTTTGCTATAAAAAAAAAAAAAAAATTTTGATTTACAAGAAAAAAACAAATCATAATTATTTTCTTTTTTTGTCCTTTTTAATTTTTTTTTACAATATTTTTTTAATTATTACCATTACCTATACCTGTGTTGATTTTTATATTAACACCACTTCAAATAAAAAATAATATTATAAACTAATCTATAATCAAAAAAAAAAGTAAAATAATTAAAAAAAAAATTTTTAATTTTCTTTTGGGTGATGAATCGAGGTATCATGTTTTCAACAAAAAAAAAGGTAGATTCCATATGGATAAAATAATTAGTGTTTGAAAATTATCTTTCGTTTTTCGTTTTTTGTGCCATCTGGAAGATTTTATAAAAAATGATAAAAGTAGATAATTTAAAATAAAAAGATAAAAAAAAGGATAATAAGCTAACAATAATTGGTGAGAATAACGATAATTTTTAATCACTAATAGTAATCAAATAAAACAATGAAAATAGATTATTTAATAAAATAAAATAACAACTGCATTAGTCCAACCGAATTTATTTGCTCAAGTATGATCAAGTACAGTAGAGTGGAGGACTCCATTCGTACGAATTTACTATAAAAACGGTATTAAACTAAAGAAAGACCAAACGAATTGTTATAAGAGGAAATGATTGTTGGCAATGAGACTTTTTTGAACGATTTATGATGCATTTTTCATTAAAATCAAAATTTAATATAAAATTCTCCTTTAATGAAAAAAATTTCAAACGCAATAATGATAATGATATAAATAATTACAACAAAAATATTTAATAACAATATTGATAATATTAATAATAGCCAATAATAAAAATAATAAAAAAATAATTACTTTTTTTCATTAAGTTGAAATAGTGCATTGCATATTAAAAGAAAGATTAAATAAAGAATTTTTTATTTATTTTTTTAATACACTTTATTTTATTATTTTAAAAAATATAACCATTTAAAACTTTTTCGATAAATGGATCAATCCAACCATTTAAATCTGAAACTGATGGGCTTATTTCACCTTTTTCACCAACATAATCAACAAATTTGTCCATATTTGCCATTAACAATAAGTTTGAAAGATTAAATTTGATTGATGGAAATTTTTTTTTGAATAATAGAGAAAGAAATTCTGTAAATTTAATATTTTCTAGTTCTTTTTCTGATATAAGCTCTTTTTCATATTTATTTTCAGATTTATAATCATCATTAATATAGAGACCGAATAGTTGCGAATAATTTTCACCAGTTCTCGGAGTATTTAAATGATTTTTATCAAGAATTCGAAATTGAACTGAAAAGTCATAAAAGCGGTGGAAATATGTTTCATATCCTTTTGTGCTATTTTGGTGTATAGTGAGAAAAAGTTTTTTGGTTTCATTTTCTTGATCTTTGTATGGTATTATAAATTCGAATGAATATGTTGATTCTTTTGCAGGGTGATAATAAGAAACATTAATTGAACAAGAGTATTCTCGAATGAATGATTTTTCTATAAAGTTTTTTAAATTATCTTTTTCAAATAATTCAAAATGATCTTTTTCTTTTTTTAATGCTGTTGGACTCTAAAATAAATAAAAAAAAAATTAAAATTAAAATTGTGAATATAAAATATTATAAAAAAAACTCTACTTACAGGACCATGTAAATAATTAAAATAAAGATTTGTTTTCCATGTGATGTTATCTAAAAGTAGTATAATATCCACTGGATATACTATATCTTTATTGGGTCTTCTATTAATTTGAGTTATTCTCTTTTTAAATTGTTCTTTAAAAGTTTCGATTGATGAAAATATTTCTTTATAGTTGTAACAATTTGAAAATCTAAGGGATTGTCTAGCCCTTTGATAAAAACCCCATAGATCGTAATTGGTATCTCCATCGAGCAAAAATGTATTTCTTGTAAATTCGTGTAATCCATTAATATAGCTTCTTTTAATAATTTTATCATATCCCATTTCTAGATGATCATCTTTATTATATATACTATACCAATAATCAAATGCTGAGACATTAGTGTCATTTTTTTTTGGTTCTGGATTGTATAGTTTAAATTCTGCTTGGTTTTTCGATGTTGAAAATGATGGTTCATCAATATCAAATGTTTGAAAGTGATGAAATGAATCTTTATTTAATAAACCTGCTTGGTAACTCTCGTCATTGTGAAAACTAAATTTTAAAAAAAAAATTAATATGTGGGTTTTTTTAATTTAACTGTGATATACATACTGATCTTCACAATGATAAAAATGTGATAATTTAAATGTTGCTTTAATAAATCTTGAATATTCTGTAACCATTTGATTTTCATCTAATACTGATTTTACTTGATTTGGTATGCATATCAAAATTTGAAATGTTCTGGAATGGTGGAATCCAAGTTCATCATTTTTTGACTTAGTATTACAATACTCTGATAGAAAAAATGTCAGAGCTTTTTGATCAGATTTTATTTTTTCTAATAAAAAAGATGATTTAATACTAAAGATATCTATTGAAATTTGTTTTAATAGGTCTTTAATATCTATTTTATCCTTATTTTTTTTATTTTTGTTTTCTTTTTCTAATATATTTGATAGATTTGATTGTATTTGATCTATATCTGAATAAATTCCATTGTTCGATATAATACCAATATTTTTTAATTTATTAAAGTTTGAAAGTCTATTATAGTGATGTGGGAAGCATTGTTTGTATAAATCTTTAAATTTTAAATTATTGTTAATATTGTTAAATGATTGTTTTAAACAACCTTTTGAGTATATTGATTTTTCATTATTAAAGTCATTTATTTGTAAAATATTTTTTAAAAATAATATTTCCCAAAGCTTATTATTATTTGAAACATTTTTCCATTGTTTATTAACTAACTCGCATGAATGATAATCATCAACATCCAAATATTTAATTATTTGATAAATAATTATAGAATTTGTTGAAAATTCATTATTATTTATTTCTAAAGTTTGGAAATAAATGAAAAAAAATAAAAAAAATAAAAAAATTATTATTTAAATACAATATTTATAAAAAATTATTAATTATTTTATTACCAATATCATTTTTAGGTATTTTTGTGGTAGAATCAGTTTCCATTGGTTCATTATTTGTAATTAAAGTAGTTGTTGTTGTTGTTGTTGTTGTTGTTTCATCTAATTGTTTTTGCTTTTGTTTTATTCTTTCTATTAGCGATTCTCTTGATTTCTTTCCACTATTAAAAACATCAAAGCTTTTTGCAACCTTAACAATATCATTATATTTTTGATTTTCTATATTTTCTATTTGTTTGTTTTTATGAACCATTTTTATTGATTTTTTTTTTTTGAAAAATAAAATAAAAATAAAAATAAAAATTTTGATTATAAAAAAAAATTTAAAAAATAATTTCCTTGGTTTTTGGGAATTATTATAAATTGGTTATAAAAAAATAATATTTTTTTTATTTTAATTTTTTACTAGAAACATTATTATTATTATTATATTTTTATTAATTAATAATAGCTGGTTTCTTGTAATTCATTTGAATTGCAACTCATTAAATTGAAATATGAGCTTTGATTTCTCTTTTTGAAAATAAAAATTATTAATACAATGGTAAATATAAATACGACTAAAGTTGGAATTATAATAGCAAGTAATAAATACTTATTAGAGTCAATGATGTCATTACTTTCTTTGTTGGGGGTTTTATCTTGTTGATTTTCAATGGTCATTAAATTGAAATCAGCGGATGGTGTCTTTGCATTGTTTAACATTAAAAAGAGGGTATCGCCTTTTGAAGTGTGTGATAATGATTTGTTTAAATTGCAAATAATAACAGAGTTGGTAATCAAAATTGCTTTGGAACAATCTCTTTGTGTATTTGATGAATCCTCTTTAACATAAATCTTTAACTCTTCTAATTGCTTTTCATTAAAGTTTTTGCCAATAATTGTTATCACTGATTCTTGAATACGGTCAACATTTAATACTCTGTCGATGGTTGGAGCCTTAAATTGGAACTCTAATGTTTTGTTTTGGTAATTGTAAACATTTCCAATTTCAATTATATCACCACTGCCAAATGATGAATCAACAAGACATTTAATTTGTGCATTATCGTATTGTAATACTTGACATTCTTTTTTACCAATTTGAACCTTGGGGACTGCTGTGTAGTTTACATAATAGTAATTGCCAATAATTGTTAAAACACCGCCAGTAACATCAGGTTTTTGAGTACGATATGTAATGGAGTCTAACTCTAATGGCATTTTATTACTCTTGAATTCAGTGTCACTATACTCTAATGTAATATTTCCTGGCACTATATCTTCTCTGTACAATTTAAATGATACTGAGTCTGGGGAACTATTGTTTTTATTGTTGTCATGTTGATATTTTATATTTTCTATAACTTCATCATTTAAAAAAACTGTTAAATTCATTTTCTTTTGAGAAAAAATACCATTAACATATACATTTAAATGTGGTGTTGAGTCTTCAGTTATTAACTGAGATTCAACACTGGTTATTATAGGTGATTTATTTGATTTGTTAATATCAAATTCATTACAATTTGATAACTTTATTATTATAAAAACTATTAAAAAAATTAATAATTTCATTTATTTATATTATTTTTTATTATTTTTGTTTTTAGAATACTAAATATTATTATAAACTATTAACTATAAATATTATTATTTAGTAAAATGATTTATATTTTATATCTATTGTGAAAAAAAAAAAAAAAATTTTAAATAAAAAAATAAAAATATGAATAAAATAAATAAAATAAAAATATTTTATATATATATTGTATTTAATTCTATTACAATAAACATTTTTTTAAAACTGTTTTATAATAAAACAATAAAAAATGATTCATAGATAATATAGGTAAAAATATGTATGGTGAATAAAAATAATTTGTATATTTATATGGAAAATCACTATATTTATTATTAAAATTAACTACTATAGAAAAAACTAACCATATTTAAATTAATAATGGTTGTGGTGTGTGGGAAAAATTTTTGTTTATATTTATTTTATATTGATGATTAAAATTTTTAACTATTCTAATGTGGAAAATAAATTTTAAGTTTTTAATAAAACATAATCCGATTAGATTATAGATTAAGGTTAAGACATCATTGAAAATTATATAATTTATAAATAAATGGGGTTGTTAATGCAAAAAAAAAAAAAAAAAAAAAAAAAAAAAAATAAATTAAAATAAAAATATTAAAAAAATAAAAATAAAAAAATAAAAAAATATTTTTAAATAATTATTTAAAAATAAAAAGAAATTTCTCCCTCATTAAATAATAAACTATTAATCATATCAATGTTTACGAACAATCTAATATAAATAATAAATATAAATATATTATAATGGATGAGCCAAACGAACCCACTTCTTTGTTAGTCAACGAAAATGAAAATAATAATTTAAATAATAATAACAATAATAATAATAATAATAAAAATAATAATAATAATAATAATAATGGGCCTAATAGTAATAATACAAATATAAATAAGGATGGTGGGAACCACTTTGTTGGGCCGGCATCATTACCAACATCATTTTCACATATAAATCAAAGAGCTTATAATATAAATAGAAATAGTAGAAATAATAATAATAATCTAAATAATAATAATAATTTAAATAGTAGTATAAATTTAAATAATAGTATAAATAACAATAATAATGTAAATCAAGAAAATGATCAATTATTATCACAATGGGATAAATCATTAAATAATAATTATAATATAAAACATAATAATAGTTATAAGAATTTTGATAATAGTTATGAATATATAAATAAAAATAAAGTTTTTTTAAGAACGAAAAAGAAATGGAATTTTAGAAAAAAGATACTACCAATGATTGTTTTTATTGCAATTACATTAATTGTGGTATTTTTAGTGGTTTTCAGTTTACCATACGATAGCAATAATACAATTTTTAATAAATCGCCATTTTACATCAAAGAAGACGATATACTTTTAGAAATGGCCCTTAAAGCTAGGGAAAACCTTTTAAAAACCCACGGTAACCAGACTATAAGTAAATTAGATTTTGCGATTTTACTAGCAAACCCAATTGGTTCTTGGTCAATTGCAACTTTTAATGGTAAGAATAGTTCCTCACCACAAGAATGTGTATTTCTACCAATTTTAGCTGCTGGAGTAAAGTAAGTTTTTAAAAAGAAAAGTAGATAAATAAAAAAAACAAGATTTTAATAAATTTATTTTATTTCAATATTTAGTTGGTGTTTAAATCAAGGTAATGACCCTCATTGTTTAAATATGGCTGCAGGTCCAATGATGAATGATATGAGCTCAGTTCATGCAGGTATTTTAGTCGATATTATTACAGGTGCCCCAAATAAACAATTTACATCACCAAATAGCACAGATTTCCAATCTTTTTTAAAAAAAAGAAAATCAATTGAAGACTTTTTAAATTCAAATGATTTATTAGGAAACCAAACCATTATAAATAAATTTTATCCATCAAATTCTGGTTCAACGTATGTATAAATTTTACACTATAATTTAATTATTATTATTATTATTATTATTATTATTATTATTATTATTATTATTATTATTCACGAGCAATTTATTAATTTCTATTTAAAATAAAGTGCTACATGGGGCGAAGGAATGGCAGAAAACATTTTTGGCGAAAACTTAATGACACCTTATGAATCGGCATTGTTAATGTTATATTTAATTAGATCAGGTATTTTAACAGACGGACAATCATACATGTCGGATTTAATTTCAAGACAAACGTTTTCACCTTATACATCGATTGGATTTGGATTGCCACCAGGTACTGTATTGCACTCGGTAATGGGAACATCTAAAGAAGATGTTAATGAAATTGCACATTTCGTTTTACCAAATGGTAATGAAATGATATTTGCAGTCTTTTCAAATGGTTATCAAAACAATGGCAAATCTCCATATCAAGCATCTATTTTGGGTATGTTTGCAGGTGATGTTATTCGATTTTTAGGTTTAGACAATGGGAATCCACCAAAGATAGTAATGACCTCAAGTGAACCAAACTGCACAAAAAATGGATCATGGAAAGAAGGAAAATCACCACAAGCTTACAATGGCACCTATTACTATGTTAACGGTACCCTAACACCCACCGGCGGAGTTTTACCAACCTCAAATTTTATATGGACTTTTAACATCACCGAATCTGGCCTCTATGAACTCTGTGTTTGGTTTCCTGGTGGTCAAAACCATGGTATTGTAACCTATCAAGTACAACCAGGCGATGGCTTAATCTATTACTTTCAAATTAATCAAGCTCATTATGGCGCAAGATGGATACTTTTAGATAGTTTTTATTTGGTAGAGGGTAATCAAGCTATTATATCAATTAGTAATCTAAAGATAGCTAGTGATAAAATTATAGTTGCTGATTCTATTAAATTTACCATGTGGCCATCATTTGGAGGTATACCCGGTTTTGCAAAATCAACATTCATCATCAATAAATCCCCAGACGACTAAAAATAAAATAATAGAATCTAATCAGAAAATATTTACAAAAATAGATTGTTGTTTAAATTTTTTTTAATAATAAATAATTCTTTTTTTTTTTATTTAATTTTATTTATTTAAAAGCTTTTATTTTATTATAAACTATTTCTTCTTTTCTTTTCTTTTTATATTTCTTCAGTACCATTACCTGTGATATTGAATTCTGTGATATAGAATGTTTTAATGAATTTTTTTACAGTTTTTATTATTTTAATAAAAAAATTGAAGCAAACAATGAGAGTAAATAAACTGCTATTAATATACACATTGTGGTTTTTATGCACCTTGAATTCACACTTGTATTCGTATTTTCTCCTGAACAATTTGCAGATACCAAAAAATAAATTGCTACTATTCCCATCGAAGCTGTAACTACTAATGAAATTATAATTCCAATTGATGATAAAAAATTAATTGTAGGACTTTCTATATTCATTAAATAATTATTTTTTTTTATATTTTAGTAAATATAAAAACTATTTACCAACCTACTTTTTTAGCAATTTTGTATTTAATAAAATACAAAAATATATTTTTTGATGTTATTAATTTTTTTTTATAATATAATTTTTTATTTAATTATTTTTTTTTTTTATTTTTTTTTATTTAATTTATTTACATTATTTAAATTAAGTATACATATAAATAGATTACCAATATAAAAACAAACCAAAATGATTTTATACCCCCATAACATTATGTATTGCCCATTAAAATTTTCATGCAAATAATAAATAAATTCCCCCTTCACCAACCCCAATATTTTTCTTTTTCACACACATTTTTTTTATGTTTTTTTTTTTTTTTATGTTTTTTTCATATATAAGTTATTAAATTTTCGATTTGAACTTATTGGTCCATATAATCATTTCATTTGCAAATAAATAAAAAAATTCTTTGGATTCTAAAAAATATTAAATGGGTACCAAAAAATAAATAAAAGAATATTTATTATTAAATTTGGAAAATAGGCCCCAATACTATCCTATATTTTTGAAAATCGTTTTATTTTTTATTACCCAATAAATACAAAAATTAAAAAAAAAAAAAAATAATTAAAAAAAAAACGAATTTCAATGATTCAAATAAAATAATATTTTTATTTTATATTTTTAACATATATTAATAAAAGAAGATAAGACTACCAATATATGATGGTGATTTAAAAGAAACCTTTTATATACTATTATTTGATAGATGTTTAACTTTTATTCTTTCCATCAAAATAAAAGTTTTGGTGGTGAAAAAATAATTATTTAGAGATTTGTGTGGAAAAAGTTTAAGCCTTTATAACTTCCTTTTTTTTTTAAAATAAGAATTATTGCAGAAGCGCATATTGTAAAATAGTTTTTTTATATATAAAAAAATTTTAAAATTTGATTTTGATTTATTGATTGCATTAAAATTTATTTTACAAGTATTATTTTTATTTAAATTATTATTATTTATTTTTTAAAAAAAAATTATAAAAAAAAGATATATTATAATTATTAGAAATATTATTATCTTCTGTGTCAAATTGTAAAATATCGCTTTTTTCACTAAACAGCTTCATTTCTATTCCATCTTTTAGTTGTAACCTTTTATTATTTCCATCATTTATAAAAACCATGTTCTCTCTTACATTTTCTAATAGAATTTCATTAACCTATAAATATTATTATAAATTAATTAATAGTTAATATAAATAATAATTACTATTAACCATATTGCATAATTATATGATTCATACCCCTTCCATTTTTATATTATAATTATTGAACATTAAATAACTAATAAATATATTTATTTTTATTATTTTTAAATGAAAAATTATAATAAAAAAACACAATTTATTATTTTTTTTTTTTTTGAATTTTGTATTATTTATAATTGTAAAAAAAAATAATAATTAATAATTTTATTAAAAATAATAATAAACAATTGCATACGCTATATCAATATTCAATAGTTTAAAATTAAAAATAAAAAAAAAACGTGTACCATTATCTCAATACAATCGAATAACAATAAAAATTTTTATAATTAATAATAATGATAATAATAACCACATCATTATTAATAAATATATATACCCACACACTCAACACCCATAATAAAAAATTAAAAATTTTTTACCACACATCACACATATCAAATTAAAACAAACAAAATAAAAATTAAAAACAAACCAATTAATTTTTGTTTTTAAACTATTTTTAAACACAATCAGTTAACCCAATTGGGTTTACGTTTTCTATATTTTTTTACTTTTATAAAATTATATTAGTTTTTAAAAAAAAGATGTTTTAATAATCCAAACAATTTGTTCCTTTTTTTTTTTTAAATTTACTTTTTTTATTTATATTTTATATATATTTATAAAAATTCAGTTGTACCAGGTGGTTTTGAAGTACAATCGAATAAAATCTTTGAAATACCCTTAACATTTGATAAAACATTGGTTGAAATTTCTTCTAAACATTCGTATTGAATTGTTTTACCTGGGATTGCTGGTACACCTGTCATAAAATCATTGGTAATAAAAGTACGAATTGCAATGGATCTATTATCTTTAATACCAAAATCAATTGGGAGTAATACTACAGGAACTTGTGATAATGATTTGATAAGATCGAATTTTAATAACGATTGGTTAACAATTTCATCAGCTTCTTGTAATTGGTGAATGGCTTCTCTGTTTAAATATGTATTTGTAACGTTTTTCATTGGTTCATTTAAAAGTTGTAAATTTGGAGTAGATGGTGAATTATTTGAAAAGATAAAACAAACTCTATTGATATTATGGCAAACTTTTGGAATAAGACGAGCTAAATTGAATATAGTGGTCCATGGGACATTTGAAATTTTTTGATGTTCTGGAGCTGTACAATAAAGACCTAATAAATAGGAATAAGTTCTACCATCACCTTGAACACCTACAGTTTGCATTGGTAAAACGATTGGTTTAATTGATGGATCACGAACAAACTTAGTCTCTTTGAGTTGTTGGTCAATTTTAGCTTTAACTTCTAAATCTAATTCTTGATGTTGATCACCACAAACTAAATACTGTACGACCTTATGAGTAAAGTCATAGTTTAACAAGTATGGTTCTTCTGTACAAATAATACGAATAGCTAAACCTGGACCAGGGAATGGTTGACGCCAAACTAAACTATCTGGTAAACCTAATGATTTTCCGAGTTCTCTAACTTCATCTTTATGGTAATCTTTCAATGGTTCAACTACTCTACCTGTATCTCTTAATAATCTAACAAGCTCTGTATCATTATGATGAGTTTTAATGACATCAGCAACACCTGATACAGTTTTGGATGATGACTCGATAAGATCTGGACGAAGAGTACCTTGAGCTAAAAAGACATCTTCTGGACTTAAACCTAATTTCTTTACCTCTTGTTCAGCTACTTTCATAAAAGTATCACCAATGATTTTTCTTCTTTCTTCTGGGTTGATAGTATCCTTTAATTTATTGGTTAAATGGCCATTGATGGTTGTGGTGGAGTTATAAAAAGTTTCAGAAGCATCGACGACAATTAAATGAAGACCCAATACTGAGAGAGCTTTTTCAACCTTGGCACTTTCGTTAGCTCTCATGAAACCATTATCGATATGTAAAGCATAAACTCTATCTGGGCCAATGGCTTTGGCGATCAAAGCAGCACAAACTGTAGAATCTACACCACCACTAACTAATACTAAAACTTTTTTATCTTTAACTTGACTACGAATATAATCGATGGCAACTTGTTGACGATCGTCTAATGTATAATCAGCTTTATATTTACATACTTGAATTAAAAAGTTTTCAAAAATCTTTTTACCATTAACAGTTAAATCGACTTCTGGGTGGAATTGTAAGCCATAGAATTGAACGGATTCATTTTCAATACCAGAGATGATACCATCTTCAGAAAGGCAAATAGCATGGAAACCTGGAGCAACTTGAGTTACACTATCACCGTGGGTTAATAAAACTTGTTGATGTAATTCTAAATCTTTAAATAACAATGAAGATTTGTTTTGTTCTGGACCACTCTTTTCAAGAATGGTAATTGTATGTACACCGTCTTCTCTTTGATGATTCTTTTCGACTTTGCCCTTATAGATGAAATTCATTAATTGCATGCCATAGCAAATACCTAAAATTGGGATACCTAATTCACCTGAAAATAAATTTGGATCGTACTTTGGTGCATTTTCACCATAGACACTTTCTGGACCACCACTAATAATAATACCTTTAACTAGAGAACCAGACTTTTTCTTTATTTCGATTAATTGTCTAATATCGATATTTAATGGATGAATTTCTGAGGCAACATTTAATTCTCTAACTCTTCTATCAATAACCTTGCTGTATTGTGAACCTGCATCTAAGATTACTAAAACTTCACTATGATTAACAATATCTTTTTCATTGATAGTTAAATTTGATTCGACTCTAACTGTAGTGTCATATGGTGGTGTTTTAATAACTGGTGATAAATTTGACATTTTATTTAAAATATATAATATATTAAATTTTGAAAATTAAAAAATATAAATAATTTTTTTTAAAATTAAAAATATAAATAAATTTTTAAAAAAAAAAAAATAGAAAATGAAATGAAAAAAAAAAAAAAAAAAATTAATTTATATTGAAGAGTTGTGTGTGAATTTAATTTTATCGAAAAAAAATGAAAATAAAATAAAATAAATAAATAACAATGGCACTTTTGATCAAACTCTTCGTTCCTTCGGTTTGTTGCGTTGTGGCTAAATAGAATCATTTTTGATTTTTTTTACAAATTAAAAAAAAAATCTTTTTTTTTTATTTTTATTTTTTTTATTTTTATTTTATGGAGTTATTTTTTTTTGCCCTTATTATTATTATTATTGTTATTATTATTATTATTATTATTTGATTTTGAATTATTAGAGTTTGCATTATTTGTGTATAAATTATTTAAAAATATTAAGTTATTATTTATATTTGCTTCGTTATTATTATTATTTGAACTTGATAATACCAAATAAGGAGAGCTTGTTTTTTCTTGGAATGATTGAAAAGATTTAACCATGCCTAATGGAGTATCCGAAGAGTCCATTTTCATTCTCTTTAATTCTTCTTCATATTCTTTCTTTCTCTTTTCTAATTTATTTTTACCAGATTTTTTACCATGGAAAATTTGTGACATTTTAACGAAAGCTTCTTTACGGCTTAAAACTCTACCAAACTCATCTTTATGTTCAATAATGGTGGATTCTATGTCATCATAGTTGATACCTCTTTTCTTTGTATTGGTGCCTGATGGTAGTTGTGGTTGTAAATCACCTTTCTGTGCTAGTAATTTTAATGTTGCTGCCATTGAGGATGCTACTAATGGTTCCTCTGTAATGCTTGTAATTGTTTTATATTTATCGTTGTTTTCTTCATTGCTGTTGCTTTCATCATCTTGATCACTATCACTATTATCATCGTCATTATTGTCATGCTTTTTATTTTGTTGATTTTCTTCAGTTTCTTCCATTTCTTCATCAATATCGATTTTTGAAGTTGTAATATCTGATTTATAGTTTGAAATGATACCTTCAGGGTTTAATGATCTAACAAATTCTGTTGTTGGGTTAATTGTAATTTCTTCTAAATTATTGGTACCATCTTCTTCTTCTTGCTGCTGTTGTTGTTGTTGTTGTTGTTTTTTTTTATTTACAATATCTACAATATTTTTATTTGAAATTGGAGCTTTTTTAGAGGTTGATAATGTCTTGTAAAAGTCTTCATCCTCGGCCTCTTCAAAGATATCAGCACTATAAGTTAATTTTGAAATTTCTGAAGCTTTATCCAAAGCCTTTTGATAGTTTTCTTCTCTTTTGAAATTATTTTCTTGTTCTTTTCTTTCTTTTTCAGTTATTCTAGTTTTTCTTGAACCTAAATCACTTGATGTGGTTGCATCTAAACTTTGTAATATATCATCGGCTGTATTCTTTTTTCTAATTCTCTTTTTCTTTTTCTCAACTCCGGACGATGAGGATGATTTCTTATTTTGGGCTCTAGTTTTAAATTGCTCCATTTCTTCCTGTGTATAAAATGATGATAATATACTTGATGAGGTTGTTGAATCCATATCATATGATGCTAAATAGTCCAAGTTCTTTTTGGCTTGATCCCTTAAAGATTCATTTGATTCAATGACACCGTTATCACCTAAAGAGAAACCACTTTTCTTTTTTTCATCATCTTCATTATCTTGATTCAACAATGAGTATTTGTTATTTCCATACTCGTCAAATTTATCATATTTTGATTGTTTCTTGCTATCTTGGATTTGCTTTTCTCTTCTTTCTCTTTCTGCAATATTTATATTAACTAAAACATCTTCTGAATCTTCATCTAATACATTGGTATCTTGTAGAGTTAAAATTGTTTCGCTATCTTCTTCAAAATTTTTTAAATCGTTGCCAACCTTTAAACCCTTTAAATTTTCTATTATAAAATAAATAAATGTATTAGTAATTTGTAATTAAATATTAATCACTATTTATAATTATTTTCACTTACTTTGTGAATAATGATCATCTTTTTTTTTATTTAAACTTGATCTAAAATTTTTCTTTTTTTCTTCATTTTTTTTCATTTCTTTCTCTCTTGATTTTGAAACCCAATTAGAAATATCATCTTCTTCATCTTCGCCATTCTCTAATAATTGTTCGGCAATTGATTTACCAACTGGTCTTGATTCTCTTTTTTTCTTTAGTTGATTAATTGTATCTTTAATATCATTTGATGCATCACCATTTGGGACTTTTTCTTTTTCTGTTGTTAATGGTGCTGATGTTTTTTTTTCGATTTTCAATGGTTCTAAACCCAACGAAATTCTAATTTTATTTGTTTCCTCAATTGAAAACTCTGAATTTTTTCCACTTTCTTTCATTTTATTATGCCAATATAAAATATAGATAAATAAATAAATAGTAAAGTGTTGAAACGGAATAAAATGAAAACAAAATAAAAGTTTATAAAAATAAAAAATTTAAAAAAAAAAAAAATTAAATTTTAATTATTTTTTTTAAATTTTTTTAAATTTTTTTTAATTTGTGAAAATTTTTTTAAATAGAAATAATTTGTGTAAAAAAAAAAAAAGAAATATTTTTTTTATTATATAAAATCTTTATATAGTTTAATTTTATTAAAAAAATTGAAAAATAAAGATTGTGTTTATTTAAGATTTGTATTGTTAGGGGAGCTTGGGTTTTTTTTTTTCCAATAAATTAATATCTATTATTATTATTGGATTTTTTTTTTTTTTTTTTTAGAAAGTGACCATTATACATATAAATAGAAAAAATTGATTATTATTATAATTGTTGTAATTGTTTATTTTTGGTTTGTTTATAGATTATTTAATTTTTATTTCCAGTCTTATCATAAAATTCTTGAAGTAAATCGGCTGGTTTCTTTTTAATGCAATGATCTAAATTCTTTGGTGGATGTGCAATGGCTGGTTGATTGGATTGAACATTTAACATTTTTGATTTTATATATGTATTATAAGTTTTAAAAAAACTATTTATTAAAAAAATAATAAATAATAAATAAAAAAATATTAGTATTTATATTTTATTGTTTAAATTAAAAAAAAAAAAAAAAAGTACAATGGTTTTTTATTATAATAAAAAAAAAATAAAATATTGATAAGTTAAAAAAAACTAACTATATTTTTTATTATAATAAAAAAAAAAAAATAAAATAAAAATAAAAATAAAAAAAAAAACTATCTAACACACACAGTATAATAGAAAGTTGTTTATATGTTTGTTTTATTTGTTTTATTTGTTTTATTTAAATAAATATATTAAATTTTTAATATACCGATTTTTTTTTTTTTATTTTTATTTTGTATTTTTATTTTAAAAATAATTTATTTTTTTTGTTTTGTTGCTTCTATGTTCTGGTGTTGATAGAATTATGTGTGTCAAAGAATTGAGAAAAAAAAAAAAAAAAATAAGAAATAATTTAATTACTCTTTTTGTATGGGAACTCTTTTAAAATAATTAAAAAAAAATTAAAAAATATTTAAATAAAATTTTAAAAAAAAATTAAAAAATTAAATAAATAATTAAATAAATAAAAAAAAAAAAAATTAAATAATAAAATATAATACCCCTAAATACCATATAAATATAAATATAAAAATAAAAATATAAAAAATTAAAAAAAGTAAAAAAATAAAAATGATATATTAATTATTTAGATGGGTGTGTACAATTAATAAGGAGTGCATAGAATTTTTTTAATTTTTATTATTTCTTTATTATTTTTTTTTTAAAATTGAATTGAAAACTAAAGAAATCACACAACTTGCATATTGCAAACAAAAAATAAATAAATAATAAAATAGAAATTTCAAATTTGGAGTGTGATACATAGAGGTAAATTTAGATAAAATTTTTTTGATGGGGTTATTGGTCTAAAATTTATATTTCACATTTTCAAAAATTATTTTTTTATCTATATTTGTGTGGAAACACATGTGGGTGTTAAAAAATTACATAATAAAAATGAAATGAAAAAAAATAAAAAACACTACCGAAATTATATAATAGAGTACAAACTTGAGAGGGTGTGCTAAAGATGGGATAGTTAAGTGAAAGTGTTTTATTATTATTATTTTTATTATGTTGTTGTTTTTGAGAGAGTGAGGAAATATAGTATAAATATTTAACAATAAAATATATATTTGATAAAAGGAATAAATTATAAAAAAAAAAAAAAAACAAAATAAATAAAATTAATTAAGCAAAAATAGCAACAACAATAAAAATAACAACCCAATTAAAAAAATTTATAATATTATAAATTTTAAAATTTTTAAAATTGTAAATTTACAGATAATTTTATGTAAATTTAGTATATATATAAATTTTATAATTTTTATAGAGATTATAAATTATGTAACAACATATATCTATAAATTTAACAGTGTAAAAAAATAAAGCAGGTGTATTTATAAAAATATTTAAATAAATTTATAAAAAATAGTAATATTAAAGAAATACACTACAGATTAATTATGATGATCTTTTTAGAATGTTATTGTTAATAATAATTTGTGATTAATAATTATTAAAAAAAATAGAAAAATTGTTTATATTGGCGAAAAAAAAGATATAGAATAAAAATTTTATACTTTATCATTTTTTATTTATTTATTTATTTGTTTATTTATATAAAAGATGATAATATTATTAAAATTTCTTTTATTTTATTTTTTTTTTCTATTATTAAGTAGATTATGTAATTTATAAAATATAATTTATTAAATATAAAATATAAAATATAAAAAACATAAAACATAAAAATAAAAATAGATAGATAACCAGTAATTGATTTATTTTGATAATGAAAATATATTTTACATATTTATATTTACCTTTTGTTTGATTTTTTTTTATAGTTCTAATTATCTAATTTTCAAATTTACTTAGTTTATTATATTGTGATATTATTAGTTATAATTTATAATAATAATATTATGATATAAGAGCTATGTGAGTAATAAATTGAAATTAAATTTATAAAAAAAAAAAATTTCATTTTGAAATTTAATTTATAAAAAAAAAAAAAATAAAAAAAAAATAATTGGGAAATTAAATAAAACAAATATCTTTTGAAATTTTTATGGGTATACATACTAAAAAAAAAAAAAAAAAAAAAAAAAAAAAAGATTCTTTTTAACTCTTTTGATTTCTTTATTAAAAACTGATATTCTATCAGTTAAATGTTAGTTTTTTATTTTAAATTATAATAAAATTAAATATTTCAATTGAAATTGAAATTGAAAAAAACCAACTGTGAATTTACCTACATTTTATAAAGAAATAAACAAGTCTCATAGCCTTTTATATATAAATCATTTTTTTATATTTTTAATAATAAAAAATAAAATAAAAAAAAAAAAAAATAAAAAAAAAAAATAAAATTAAAAAAATTATTTTAGAAATAAAATTATTTTTTAAAATATTTTGGTTTTATAATAATTAAATAATTAATATTTAATTATTTAATAAAATTAAATTGAATTAAATTAATGAAATTTCCAAAAAAATTTATTATAATTGATTTTTTATTTTCAAAATAATTTAAAATATTATTGTTGTTTTTAATAAAATTTTATTATATTATAATAATTATTATTGTTTATTTATTATTATTATTATTATTATTATTTTAAAATATACTCCATGAATCGAAACAATTTTTTAATGCTGTTAAAATTTCATCAGTATTTGAACCAACACTTGAAGCTAATAATCTTCTTTCTTTTTGATTTAATTTAACGAATTTTGATAATAGATCACCATCTAAAATATACTTTGGTAATTGATGAATGGTTGAAGGTGAAAAATGGAAATTTTGACTAAATGATTTGAAAGCTCTATATTGTTTTGCATTCAAACCAGCAGGTTGGGGTAAATAATAAAGTTTGCTTTGTAGGTGATAAAATAGTTGATACATTCTTTCGTCCAATGGTCTTAAAACATTTAAACTACCATCTAAAGTTCCAAAAAATACTAATTGGTCTTTAATCGGTATATTGATATTACCACCATTATGATGATGGTGATGATGATGATTGCCATTTGCACCATTATTATTATTACCATTGCTAGATGATTGAATATTAAATTTCATTGGAGTTCTAACAAACTTTTCTATATTTGAACCTATATGGAAATCTGCTTTACATAGTAACATTTGACCTTGTCTACTGGTTGGATCAGCTGGATCAAATGAGAACAGTAATATATTTTTATCTAAATCACTAACCAATATGGAAAGAGTTTGCTGGTTTACAATAAATTCGGTGGAAAAGATATTGAGCGATTGATAATCTTTACTGAGTGGTACAAGTTGTTTACCATTCCATTGTAAAAAGTAAACACTTTTATACATATCACCGATTACAATATATGTTTTAATTGTTGAGATAGAACAGATATAGATTTGAGCATCGTGGAATGATAATGTTACCAATTGACCAGTTAAAAATTGATTTACAGTGAGTTTTGGACCAATTGTCATTAAAAGTAAACCTGATACGCTGGATAATGCTGTTACTGGACCTTTTTGTTCTTTTTCGTATAAAAGATTTAAACGTTTGGTACCTAAATCATCTGATTCGAACTGGGTTTTGTGAGATACAATTTCAAATACCAACACTCTACCTTTACATTGTGTATCTTCACCAAATGTGAATGCAGTACCAATAACAAGAAATGGTTTGCTCTTGATAGTTTCGTCAGATTCTTTAAACTTTAACGAAACAATTTTCATTGCTAACACGGTTTCTCTATCTTGTAATGAAAAGCTATCAATAAATCTCCATGACCAGTCTATTGTTGGATCAATAATTTTAATTTGGAATTTCTCGTCGGTTAAAATTGGTTTCTTTGAGTCTTCTTCTAATTCCTGGGTTACTTGTGGGAATGATACAACAACTACATAACATTTTAATTCATTATGATAGGCGATCTTGTGAGCAGACAGTTTAATTGGGACTCTACGTATAGCATATTCATTTTCAAAGTTCATTAAACCATTTAAATAACCAATCTTGATATGTTGCTTATCTTCTGTATAATAGAGAAAACCATTTGGACAATCTGCATTATGGAATGGCTTCAAGGAGACAATAGCACCATCGAAATCCATAGAGTGCAATCTAATATAGCCCTTTTCGTTGAAAATCCACACTGGCTTTTGACCACCAATAAATACACCATTATTTTTACTACTTAGTTTAATATTTACAATTGATTTCTTTCTATAACCATCACTATTTATTGATTTACTATTATTAGATAGATCTCTTAAAATAAAATTATGATTATATTTTTTAAATCTTAAATCGCCATTTTCTTTCTTGAAAGATTTGTAAACAATTAAATCACCAATTCTGTTTTTTAATAATAAGTAAGGTTGTGAGTTATTTAAAATTTCTAAAGATATTTCTACAATTTCTAAATTTTCATTTTGCAAAATTTGCTGTTCAAACTTTTCCCTTTGTTCTTTTTCTTTTTGTTCTTTTTGTTTTTGTAATTGTAATTTAATTTTATTGGTTGCTTTAGAGTTGTTTGATATTGGTGGTGATAAAACTTTTTCTAAAAAGTTGATTTGGTTATCATATGTTGAAGTTGGTATACCTAAAATCTCTGGTTCAATTAGAATATTATTTGTTTTAAATACCAATTCCTGACTTGATACTCTATAAATTTCAAATGAACCTTTATTTGTGAAAATATTTAAATAAATATTATTTTCAATTAAATTGATTTCATTATTAAATTGATTTTCTTGTTGTTGTTCTGGTTCTTGCTGTTGCTTCTTATTTGATTGTACATTTTCTTTCATAACTGTATCTTCTTTTTTATCTAATAGTTTGTCAATATCATCATCTGAGTCTGATTCTGATTCTGATTCTGATTCGGATGAGTCTAAAAATGATAAATTATTACTTTCTTCTTTTGGTTTGGCCTTATTTTGTTGTTGTGGTTGTTGTTGTGGTTGATTATTTTCTTCTTTAATTTTATCTTCTTGATTTTCAATGATTTTGGATTCATTGAATTTTTGATTATTTAAATTTAAAAAGAATTGATTTTTATCAAAAAATAATGATGAAGTTAAAACTTTACCTTCATCGCCATGGTTTAATGAAAAATTAAATTGATTTAATTTTAATAATTTGTAGTCGCATTTAAACAGTTGAATAGAGTTGTCTGAATAGTGAACTAAAACATATGGATCTTGAATAAATGTTGATTTAATTGGTTTTGATAATTTAATTTCTTGAACTATGTTATTGTAATCGTTTAATAATTTTATTGAGTTTTCATTGATCAAAACAATTCTTCTCTTATTGAATAAATTGCCCATATCTAGAGTACGATACTCGAATTCACCTTTAAATGTAAGCTTTCCTTCTTCACTACTTGTGGTATCTAAAATATTGGTTGTGCCATTACTCATTGAAATATATAAATAATCGAGATAGTCTTCTTCAATTGGCTGTTTTTGTTGTTGCTGTTCATATTGTTGCTCTTCTTTAATAATTTCATTTATTGTTCTTTTTTTACCAATTAGTTTTTCTTCTTCATCTTCTTTTATACTAGACGACGCTTTGTTATAAACAGTCCAAAAACTATTAACTACACCTTCAGAATCGAAGGCACCAACTATTTCGGGTTTAACAGAGTTTTGCAAAATAGAAATTGAACCATTTTTACCATAACCTGAGCATGTTACAAGCTCTAAAAATCTTGGCATATATGCTGGATCACTTGGTAAAGTGTTAAGATCGTAGGTTGGATTTAATGCTTGGCCAATAACCATATCGCCTACAGGACCAACATTTAAAATTTGATCACAAATACCTAGTTGATATGATTTCAATTGATTCTTTTTCTCTTTGAACAGTTCATCTTCTTCATCTAAAACTTCGTCCATTTCATCCTTTTGTTGTTGCTGTTGTTGATTTAATAGCTTTTCTTGCTCTTGTTGTTCTATTTGTTCCTCGTCGAATATATCAAAGACTTCTGAGGTTTTTTGTTTTTTATATGGATTACTAAAATTTTCGTGCTCTAACGATTCATCGGTAATTGATTTTTCTGTATATTGCAATAATAATGAATCACCTAATCTTGACCCTAAGAATAATAAATTATCAGATACCACACACATGCAGGTTGCTAAAACACTACCACCAGCCTTTGATACATGAATTCTTTGTACAGTTCTACCATCAGAGATTAAATGGAATATTAAAAGTTCACCACCCTTCAATGAGCCTATGAATTTATCGGCCTCTAAGAAAACAAAATTTGAACGATCGAGAGTAAATACCAAATTTAAGGTTTCATCAAGAGGAAATTCAAATTTATCACCAATATCTATATTTGCATATTCGTTGACTGCTAAACCATATTTCGAAGTTTGATTAACATGAAACATAATATTTGGAGTTATAACTAAAGCACCACTTAATGGTTCTGGTACACTGACTAATTGGTCGCAATTGTAAGGCATGTTGCTTGTATGCCAAATGATGGATGCTAATTTAGTTGAAAAATTAATTGAAATGGCTGTTAATTGACTTGTTAACCTTTTAACTGCAATACGTGATGTCCATGTTTGAGATGGTTCGTGTAAAAACAATATGGTTGGTTCATAGTATCCATATAAAAAACAAAAATCTTTCACATTTTCGATATCAATTGATTTTAGATCGATTATAAACGATTTTAATAACTTTTGTCTAAAAATAAAAAAAATTTTAGTGTTGGTTAGGAATGAAATTATAATAGATATATTTAAATATATAAACAATTCTTACTCTTTTCTTTTCTTTTTAATATTTATATTTATATTTGTATTATCGGTATCGTCATCTGAGGTTTTTGAAAATAAGAAATCGAATTCGTCATCATCATCAATCTTTGATGGCTTTTTACTATTTTTACTATTATCATTTGATTGATTGTTATTACTATTATCATCGTCATCATCATCAAATTCTTCTGTATAGTCTTGATTGGCATTGTCATTTTCTTTTTCATCTTCTTCATCTTTTTCTTCTTCGTCTTCATCATCTAAAATTGAGCTAATTTGTTTGAATGGTAAAACTACTATATTTCTATCGTACAATAACATTGTTGCACAACGTTGTTGAGTATCAATTTTTAATATTGGTGGATGCTTGAAATGAATTCTTCCGTTTTTAAACTCATCGTTTTCATAAAAGTGAAGTGATCTGATTTCGAAATCCATAATATCGATGTTATAGTCTAAAACTGAAATTTTTGCATCTCGGAATGTTAAAAGTAATGAATCTTTATTTTCACCTGGATATCTAACCGATGCCATCGATTCAATCGTTCCAAATAATTTTAACTCTATCAATAATTCTAAACTTGGCTTGATTTCAACCTTTTTGATTTGCTTTTGCTGTGTTGTTGTATTTTCATTCTCTTGATTACTGTTATCCTCATTATTCATCGACGATACAATAGAATTAATAATATCTTGTTGAGAATCTATAACAATTTCATATTTTTCAATTTTTTCCTTTTTTTTTTTAAAATTAAATTTATAAATTAATATTAAATTTTAAAAACAATATAATTATATTTAAATACTTACATATTTGATTTTGTAAACTTGTAATGTATTGTTTTTTGATAATACCAGATTTATAGTATCATTATCAATTAGATTTGCTTTTATACATTGTTCAACACCTGTTGGAGCTAAAACTTGTTTTTGAAATACCTGATGGCTCATCAAGTAATATTTGTATATAAAACTATATTCTATATATAGTTTTATATATATAGTTTTTTGAAAAATAGTTTATTAATTAAATTGCAAAAAAATGAAATGAAAATGAAAAATTTTTAAAAAAAAAAAATTTAAAAAAAAAAAAATTAAAAAAAATTAAAAAAAAAAAAAAAAAAAAAGTAAAAAAAATAAATAAGGAAATAAAGTATTTTGATGATAATGATAATCATAAATAAATAATTTTTTTATTTAGAATAGTTTAAATAAATAATAATACATTTAAGAATAATAAAACTAAAAGACCATTTAATTTTAAAATATTTGAATTGTTTGGATCGCTTCCATCTTGTTCACTGCTATTGGTAGTTTCTTCACTGCTACTGCCACTGCTATCGGTAGTTTCTTCACTGCTGCTTGGTACAACAAAGTTGTTGCCCTCTAAGTTCCAGCCGACACAAGTTGATGAAGTTTTGGTGGTTTGTAAATAACCAGTTTCTGGGTATCTGAAAACTTTGTTGTCTGTTGTGGTGGTTTCAAAGTAATATTGTTGACAATCTGTGAAAGTTGTGGCTTTGTGAGAGTAAATACCGAAAGTGGAGTTACCATATCTGAGTGGTATATTAATTTTTGTATTGCTAAAAACAATGTTCATTTTCTTGGCAACCAAAGCACCTTTTGGGCTATAGAAGGTTACAAGGAAGAGAGTTTCACCAGAGGTGGCTGGGTAATAGGTATGGTATCCTGAATAAATTGGAGATTGTGGTGCAGATACACATTGTGTACCAAGGAAATCCTGGGTCCAATATAATGAGTTGAATTCGCTTTCATAATTACCGACACCAACACTATAGAATGGGTAATCGAATGACATTATAATATCTCTGTGACCAATTTCAGCGACAACTTGGTCACTTGGACATGGAGCGTTAAATTTTTCGCAAATTAATTGATTGTTGGTTGCAATACCAGTTTGTGGTGGTTTGGCCCAAGCAATATTTTCACCATATGCACCTTTTTCAATACATGAGTCCCAGTTTTTAAATCTATCGTTGACGGTGGTACCATTACAATCGTTATGTTGGAAGCATTTGCTGGTTGAAGTTTCTTTAGTGGCCATATCAAAGCTATGGGCTTTTGCTAAACGATTCAATGAATTGTAATAAAATAATGGATTAACTCCTGATGGATATCTTGATTCTGTTAAAATATCATCGATGCCTTGGAAACCAACCATAAAGTCTCTTTTATATTCTCTTGGAAACATTCTTACAACATTGAGCATATTATGTGATTCTCTTTCTAAATAATTTGGATTACCTTCTGAATCTGATTCTCCATAACAATTAATTAATCCAATAAAACTAATTAATATTATTAAATTTAATATTAATTTCATTTTATTTTTATTTTTTATTTATTTCAACAGTATTTGTTTTAAAAAAAAAAAAAAAAATTTGATTTTTTTTTTTAAAATTTTTTTTAAAATTATTATAAAAGGCGAAAAAAAATATCTTTATTTTTTTTTTAAATTTTTATAATAACACAATCAAAAAAATGGAAAAATATCTAATTTTTAAAAACCCACCAAAACAATTTTTTTTTTAAATTAAATAAAATCAATTTTTTTAATCTTTTTTTTTTATTCAAATTTTTAAAATATAAATTTTTTTTTTTTATTATCAAATAGAAAAAAATACCTAAATTTATTTATTATTTAGTTTTAGATCTAGTAAGAAGTAATGTAATTTGACTATCCATTAATATACTACTTATTTAGTTGAATTTTCTCCAAAGATTGTAGTTTTATTTAAAAATTATTTAAACACTTACAATAATCATTTTTATTGATTTTAATCGTTAGCTACGGATATTTAAATTACTAATCGAATGGAACACAACTTATTTCTTTTAGTTTATTAATTTAAAAAAAATTATCATAATTTTTTAAGATTCCATCAAAGCCGGCTTTGGCGCAATGGTAGCGCGATTGACTGTAGTAATTTATCTGTTATCAATCGGTTGCTAGTTCGAGTCTGGCAAGCCGGAATTTTTATCATTCTTTTATCTTTTGTGTGATTTTGTGTTGTTTTGACCCGAAGTCTCACCAACTTCCAAAATAACAAATACCAATACCACCACAAAAAGTCCACCAATTAGGATGTAAATAACCGGGGGAGTAATGATAGTGGTCGAACGAATTTCCTACAAGTTACCGCTCAGGGTTCGAAACCCAGTCTTTATTAATTTTTTTTTGAATTTTTAATTTGAATCTATTATTTTGATGTTCATCTACAAAACAAATAGAAGTAACTCTGTAACATAGGTATTATCTGTTTTAGTAAGAATTTTTTTATAATAAATTATAAAAACTGTGTATGACTCTAAGTTTGATAATATATCTGTTTTTCATGATTTACAGTGTTATATATAATAAAGCTTTGAAACTTGAATGATTTGCTGATGTTTATTAGATTGATACAAAAACAAACTGTTGGACTAGCCTCTACATGGTTTCTATGTCATTGAACCTTATTTGTCTAAATTTATTTGACTTTGCTAATTTAATTGCTTTTTCTGATTGAATGTGTGAATAATTAGATTACACCTAAAATCAAAACTGTATACCAAATATTAATTGAATTATAAAGTATATCTAAAGATGAAAACTTGTTTGATTTTGAATTTGATTGTAATTGAGGTCAATTAAAAATATCTACAGAGTTTGGCCATCAGCTTTTCATAATGAAAAAGAATTAAAATACTGATACATCTATTATGATTAATGAAAGGCCACTTGAAGTCTATGAGATGATGTACTTGAGATTTAGGACGGAAATAATAGTTGATTGTTGGCTAAGTGAAAATTGACAAACCAGAACAATGATGGACCTCTACTTTGTGCATACTTTTGAGCTTCATTGGCTACTGATTACTGAGAATGGCAGAAGAATAATTACTTTAGGTTTTTTTTAATTATTATTATAATTATTTTTGATTATTATATTATACTGAAAAATTAACAATGTGATAATGTGTTCATACTGAAAAAGGACCCCAATGTTTCATGAATGATTTGAAAAAAAACACAATTGAAAAGAATAAACTATACCCCCAATGTATAATTAATGATTTGAAATAAATAAAATGTTGAAACTGAACAAGAAAGAATTAAAATTAAGCTAAATAAGTATTAAAATTAAATATTAGTTTCTTTTATATTCAAATTTAAAAATAATTATGTAAATAATAACATTATAGCTACCTTAAAAATACAAATACCCCAATGTTGGTATTAAATAAAGAACGTGATTATACTGAAAGAGATAATATTATAATTAATCTAAATATGAAATAAATATTAGTTTCTTTTATATTTTAATTTATTATGTTAATATTATCATTGTATTTACTTTGATAAAGCAATTACCCAAAAATGGCAAAGTGTTGAAATGAGAATGAATTAAATATTGAGCTTTTTGATATGAAAGAGAAAGATTCAAACTAAAAACGTGTTGAATGAGAATGAATTAAATATTGATCATTTTGATGTGTATGAGAAAGATTTAAACTAAAAACGAATAAAATATTGGTTAATTTTATATTCAAATATAATAATTATGTAAATATTTACATTATAGCTACCTTAGGGAATGAAAGCGCACATATTGATATTTATTATAGAACATGGTTATAATGGAAGATAAAGAATTGTAATTAAACTAAATAGGATTTAAAATTAAATATTAGTTTTTTAATATACAAATTAAATTTTAATATAAAAATAAATTTATATTATTTATGTAATTATTAACTTAATATTTACCAAAAGAGAACTAGACATGAAACCTTTGGAACTTCTTTAACCTTTTTTTGAAGAGTTGAGGATAATGCAATGAATTGTAATGTTTGTCCAATGATGTTGTTTTCTGATATAATATTGTTTGATTTCGTTATTATTACATATGGATAGAGTATTATTGACCGAGGTTAAAATCATCTAATTGGTGGCCAGCTAATTGATGAAAATTAACCAAAGAATCTATATTTTCCCTATGGATTGGAATATTGTAACCGAAATGTTATTGGACATCCATTCTGTTTAAAATGTTATTTATATTTTTAATCGATGTTCATAGCATCATTTATTAAATCCTCATTTTGATTATCTCTCTACAATAAAATAATAAATTAAATTAATATATATGTTTTATTAATAAATTATAAATATGAATGTATGAATTACTTACTCTAATATTTAAAATTGGTTGTCTGCAAGTTGGACAGGATCTAGTACGAGAATACCATCGAGTAATGCATGCAAAGCAAAATTTATGAACACAATCAATTGATGCACTATTAATGGCCTCTACCTGATTATAGCAAACTGTGCAGATGTTTTCGTTTTCATCTTGTTCCATTTGTTGTGGTTGACTTTCTTGTTGCAATCTAATTTGTTGTAATCTTTCTTGTTGCAATCTTAAGGCTTCAAATTGTTGTCTACGTACCCTTTGAATTTCTTCTTGTGTTTGTGGTTCTTGGGAACGTTCTCTATTTCTTTGTTATCTTTCTGAATTTCTTCTATTGGCCCTTTGTTGAAGTAATACATCTAATCTTTCATTTAATGAATTTAGGTAACGATGATATTCACGGGCTTCTTCCAAATACAATTGTTGTTGCTCTCTTGCAACTCTTTGTGATCTTTCTCTTTCTAATGCTTCACTACGTACCCTTTCTCTTAATAAAGTTTGGGCACGTTCCCTTTCTTGTTGCTCTCTTGCAACTCTTTCCCTTTCTATTCTTTCTCTTTCTTCTCTCTCCCTTTCTATTCTCTCTCTTTCTATTCTTTCTCTCTCTAAAGTTTCTAGACGTACCCTTTCTTGATGCTCTCTTTCAATTCTTAATAAATATTGGGTACGTTCCCATTCTTGTTGCTCTCTTATTATTCTTTCTCTTTCAAAAGCTTCTAAACGTTCTCTTTCTTGTCTTTCTCTAACTAATCTTTCTGAACGTTCAGATTCTCTGATTTCTCTTTCAAAATCTAATACTTCTTTTCTGAGAGCTTTGTTTGCTTTCTCTCTTTCAGTTTGTTCTTTATCCCTTCTTAGAATTTCTAGTACCAATGTATCTGACTCTAATGATTGGTTACTATTATTATTATTGAGATTGTTATTTCTGCTATCATTAGAGGCAATGTTTGAAGGAATAAAGTTTGGGGTTGTTCTTTCTTGTGTTTCTTGTGTTTCTGTTGGTGTATCTTTGAAAAAACGAAATGGTAAATATCTTACACCTTTTTTACCTTTATTATTATTATCATTATTATCAAAAATTATATTATGATGATCTTCATCAAATAATTA